GATCCATTTTTGAGTTGCAAATCAATTTGAAAATAAAATTTATTTTTATTATTTTACTTAAAGTTAATGAAATCACTTTATTGCGGGAGAGAAAGTTATTTCAATCATTTATCTTGAGCTTCATGTAATTATCATAAGGGTATTGGTATTGTGATTTGAATTTCAATCTACAAGAAATTAACAACTCAATTAATTCAACTCTTTTAAGCCAATCAAGTTTCATATCAAGGATTAGAGCATACTTACTCACTTTCATTCTCATTATCTTTTTCTGATAGACTAGGATTTATCATTTCATCATGATTCTTAATATCTTTTCTTGCATGACTTCAATTGCTTTGGCTAGAAGTTGAATCAACATCCATCAGATTGATTTTTTCGCATCCGTTCTTGATTCTCTTTTATTAGTTTTTTCTCATTACTTTGCGACAAAGATTCAACATCAACAGTCTCCAACAAACTTTTACAGTCATCAGAATGTAATACAACCACTTCTTTATCTATTTTGGACTTTGATGCTTTGGCTGATATAAATCACGTGTATTATTATTGAGAAAAGAGTTGATAAATGTAAATACTTTTCATTAATTCATCGAAGTCCAATTACACGAAATATTAACTAAAGGGAGGAATAAATAATATTATTATTAAGACATCAGTTTTTATGTCACATATAAACGCGAAGTTTACACGTGCAGTTACACGTCATATACGTAACTTCACGGTTACACACACGCGGGATCTCAGAGGACGCACCAAAGGCTATTAAGAAATGTGCAAAACACCGAAACCAGGTTTGACAACCATTTCATCCTATAGACTACAAGGGAGCAGATAACACGCAATTGGGCCATCCATCTATCTTGCAGTAAGAATATCCTTTTGATATGTGGTCCCGTCATAATAGTAAAGAAGTAATAATATCTTTGATCCACATAGTGCTGCATAAAGTTTGTCTACTTGTTCCGTATCTTTTCTTTATAAGTAAAGATAGTATAAAAACTATATAATAAGAAAATAAAAGAAATAACATAGTGAATCTAATTATTATTTATGAATGGGGATTTAATATTAAGGATCAATAGATAGATATAATAAGGTAACGCTTATCTGATATAGAAAGCTATTTTGTTTCTATAAATATAAAAATAACAAACCAAAAATATCGAAAGTGTTCGATCTGGATTTAATATTTTGCCACCACAAGCTAAAATATATATTAAAAAATTAATCATGAGGCTGTTTCCCGCACGGGAGCATTAAATCCTAACAGGCTGATAGCAATCAAAAAATATAATTGATATTGGTATATATATATATATGATGTTTGCATTTATCGTTATACGCACATTTGGCGTTTTATTTGGCAGCAGTGGAACCAACACCATTAGTATCGAAAAGAAATGTTACCTTGCTCGCTTAAGACTTCATTCCATGGTTATTGTTGTTGGTGCTGGTGATTTAGCTGGAGGAGTTGAAGCAGATTGATCATCTTCACGTGTAAGACTAATTTCGTGTGATGTACTGACATCGAAATCTGTTTTTTATCACCAAAAATATTAAATCAAGGAAAGTGATAAAAGAATATCAAATGCAAGTTTACCTTCACTTGGAATATACAAACTAACACTTGTAGAACCTAAATGTTTGATATATTTAAAATCAATCTGAAATTCATTTCGATTGTATATAAAATAAGTGTGCATACCTTTAACAGTTGGAATTGATATTAATTTTGGAGTAAACATTCGACTGGTGTAAATTGCATTTGGGTGGATTTGTTGTTTTTTGTTTATATTCGTAGGAATGTTTTTCATTTCCTCGTCAAGTTCTTTTAATTTCTGTTTCTCTAGTTTAACACATTCTTTGATTTCTTCTTTTGTCTTAGGATATTCGAAAGAACTGTAGTGCTGAAAATGTAAAGTATTCGTTTTCCACCGGCCATTGATATTATAGATAGAGTAGATAAAGTCAAAAAGTTTCTCAGTAGTTGGTCTGTTTTCTGGAATAGGATCCCAACTTTTTTCAATAATAAATTTACACCATCCGGGAACATTGTTTGGTATCGTAGGTCGTACTCCTTTATAAATATCATAAACAAGATGATGATCATGACTTCGATCACCGAATGGTCGTTCACCTGTTGCAATTTCGTACATAACCATTCCAAAACTATAAATGTCTGCAGCGATAGTGTATGGCTTTCCATTTAAAACCTCTGGACTCATATAAGGAAGTACTCCACAAATTTCTTGATTGGATTTTTTTAGATCTGCTGGAATGCTAAGTCCAAAATCAACAATTTGAGGAAACTCACGAGTATTGTTAAGACTCGCTATATTCAACTTTTTCATTAATAATATGTTTCCAGGATGAAAATTAAGATGCACAAATTTCTCTTCGTGAATTTTTCTCAGACCTTTGATAATCTCATATAAATAGTCTAATTTTTGACCCCAAGTCAATTTTTCATAGTTGGAATGAATATATTTGCGGAGATCACCATCTTCTGCATAATCCATCACTATTGAATATTCATCTGTAACTGGGTTTTTTGCTATTCCATAATATTTAAAAAAAACAGAGACAAAGCATTTAAGAGCAGTCTGAATCTATTTTTGAAAATTTGATTTTATTAGAACAAAAAGTAATTTTCATTTTAGAAAACGTTCAATTACCTCGTGTATAAATTCTGGAGTAATTTGTTTTGAATTGTGTAATGATTTCAACACAACTTTTCTTCCTCTTTGTTTAAATTTATTTTCTTCATGATCCCAAGAATATAATGGTCCATCCAACCAGGTTGCTTTATAAATTGTTGCAAAACCTCCTTTTGTAAGATATTCAATGTTGGTGAATCTTTCAAAAGGAATCCATTCGTGTATATTTTTATATTTCTTATTAATTTTGTTGCATTCTTTTAATAGATTGTCGATATCTTTATCTCCGCTAGACAATTCATCATCATAAATACGTTTACGATATTCGAAACAGTCATCGCATCTGTACTTATTTTCTTGGCATATAGTACATTTACTACAATCATGAGTATTGTGAACTAAACACTCATCGCAGTATCTATTCTTTCGACAATCAGTACATTCATTACAATGATGAGTATTCGGTTCCATCTTTGAGTTCACTTTATATTTGTGAAGTTCACCATAGAATGCATAAGTCATTACTATCAGGTACTCGTTTGTAACTGTATTTTTAGTCATTCCATAATATGCTATCAAGTTGCCGTAATCATAGCATTTGAGCCCTGTTTGAATCTATTTTTGAAAATTTAATTTTATTAGAAAACATAAAGCAATTTTCAATTTAGAAAATGATCATTTTTTACCTCATTAATAAACTCTAGCGTAATTTGCTTTGAATTGTGCAATAATGTCAACACAACTTTTCTTTCTCTCTTTCGTTTAAATTTATTTTCTTCATGATCCCAAATGGGATATTTATCATCATAATCCAATGGTCCATCCAACCAGGTCGCTTTATAAATTGATCCAAAACATCCTTTTGCAAGATATTCAACATTGTTAAACCTTTCAAAAGGAATCCATTCGAATATATTTTTATATATATAATCAATTTTGTTGGATTCTTTTATTAGATTGTCGATATCTTTATCTCCGCTAGACAATTTATCGTTATAAATTTGTTTGTGATATATGAAACACCCAGAATAGTACTTATTTTGTTGACACTTAGTACATTTACTACAATCATGCGATTCCATCACTATCAAATATTCATTTGTAACTTGGTTTTGAGTTATTCCGTAATCAATAATATCGTCATCATCTTCACTGCTGCATTTAAGAGTTGTCAGGATCTATTTTTGAAAAATTTAATTGTATTAGAAAACAAAAAGCAGCTTTACATTAAAAATCATTCATTTTTTACCTCTTCTATAAACTCTGGTGTAATTTGCTCTGGGTTGTGTAATGTTTTCAACACAACTTTTCTTTCTCCCTTACGTTCAAATTTATTTTCTTCATGATCCCAAATGGGATAGTATTTATCATAATCCAATGGTCCATCCAACCAGGTTGCTATATAAATTGACCCAAAATCACTTTTTGCAAGATATTCAACGTTGGTAAATCTTTCAAAAGGAATCCATTCGAATATATTTCCATTTTTATAATTGATTTTGTTGCATTCTTTTATTAGATTGTCGATATCTTTATCTCCGCTAGACAATTCATCGTTATAAATTCGTTTTTGATATTTGAAACAGTCATCGCAGCTGTACTTATTTTCTTGGCATATAGTACATTTACTACAATCATGAGTATTGTGAACTAAACACTCATCGCAGTATCTATTCTTTCGACAATTAGTACATTCATTACAATGATGAATATTCGGTTCCATTTTTGAGTTCACTTTATATTTGTGAAGTTCACCATAGAATGCATAAGTCATTACTATCAAGTAATCCTTTGTAGCTGGGTTTTTAGTCATTCCATAATATGCTATCAAGTAGCCATAATCATAGCAATTAAGCCCAGTTTGAATCTATTTTGAAAAAGTTGATTGTATTAGAAAAAAAGTAACTGACCTTCGCTTTAGAAAATGTTCATTTTTTACCTCGTGTATAAATTCCGGCGTAATTTGCTTTGAATTATGTAATGATTTCAACACAACTTTCCTTTCTCCTCTTCGTCTAAATTTATTTTTGCTATGATTCCATTTGGGATAGTGTTTATCATAATCCAATGGTCCATCCAACCAGGTTGCTTTATAAATTGACCCAAAATCACTGTTTGCAAGATATTCAACGTTGGTAAATCTTTCAAAAGGAATCCATTCGAATATATTTCCATTTTTATAATTGATTTTGTTGCATTCTTTTATTAGATTGTCGATATCTTTATCTCCACTAGTCAATCCATCGTTATAAATTTGTTTGTGATACTTAAAACAGTCACCGCAGAGCAGAGTTTTTTGACAACGAATACATTTGCTACAATCATGAGTCATATTTTCTTCTAATAAAGTATAACCAGCCAATTTCCATGCAGTTGTTTCAGAACTTTCTTGAGAAATTTCCTTTTCATTTAATTTCGTTGTTAAAATCAAACACCACGATAATACAACCTTCTCGTTGCCACATGGATCATAATCCGCTTGTACAAGGTCTAATATTTCGATGTTGATAATTCCTCGATTGGTCCAAGATAAAATCTTAGTTTCAACGAGTGGATTAAAATTGGATTCAGGGAATTTAAACGATATTGTTAATATGAGTCCAGGATGGAGTTTTTGTTCTGTGTTCAAACTGAATTTATCTTCTTTTATCGTTATTAATTTCGAGCCTTTCACTATTTCTATATCGCGAGTAAGTGGATCCGAATATCTGACCTCATTAGGTATGCCAATCATTATCCAAAAGACTGTGTATTCTCTAAATTCAAAAGTTAATAAATATTATCTTTACAAATAAATGGCTATATAATTATAGAACCTTACTTTTCATATTCTTGGTTATTTCCTGTTCCTTCGATAGATATTCCAAATCCGCCAATATCATAATAATCAAACTTAGGAACAAATTTTATTTCTTCGCTATTATTCTTATTAACTATACGGCCAAAGATATGGAAATCCGCTTTATGAAGTTCTTTAGAAAATTTAATCCATTTATAATTTTTTACTTGGTTACTTCCGGTCATTAGAATACGAGGTTTAGCCTCAAGAAGAAGCTCAACTTTTGCGCTGAGAGATGGCGTAAGACTCTGATATAGCGGCTTGATCTGTCGATCAATAACTCCCCATTCTTTTTCAGGATTTTGAGGATAATAAACTTTATAAAGCCATTCTTTAATACTTGTGTCCCTAATCAAAAGATATTATTAAGATTTAATGAAAATTAAGAATAAAACAATATTTAAAGTTTACTTTGTTTCAACAAATTCTCCATTAGAATCACATAAATAGGAACTGTCAAAAGGTTTGACAATTTGTTGCATCTTCTCCAAAGACGTTTTTAAGTTGTCATCTACGTAGTTGAGTATTTTAGATCCATTATAAAATTTAATTAAATATGCATTAATTTACCTTCTTTTAACTCACTCCATTGTGAGTTAAGACGACTAATGTCACTCGATTCAAACTCAAATAATTGATCAAGCTTAGCTCCGACAATGATCTTAGTCTCATAAAAATAACCATATTTATTAAAGAGAGCTTCCAATTCTGGATACGGATTATATTTGTTTAAAGCATCTTCCATTTCTTTTGAAAAAGATTCTGTTGGCTCTATACAATCGTTTGAAATATCGATTATCAATTGTTCGTTATAAACACAAAAATGAATTGCTGGTTTTCTTCGTTCACTATCAAAATAATTTTTTATTAAACTAGAATCCGGAAACTCCAAGTTCAAAATCTTATTAATAGAATCCACAGAGTCTGAATCCGTAGATATACAACTGGACGCTAGGAAAGAAAATATTTTTGATTGATAATAAGAAAAATTAGGTTTATTCTTAGCGCCTGTATCATTATATCTGATATATGGTGGTTTTATAATGTTGAAAATTTTCTCTTTAGCTTTTCTTATCCTTTTTCGTGAGAAAATGAGTCCAAATTCTAATTTACAGGTATCGATCCAATCTGTTTCGTTAATTGATTTTTCGACGTCTGATATATTCATAGGAATCAATTGAATTGGCGCCAATGAAATGCGTTGTATATTGTTAGCATTTTTATGTTGTGGATAAGCAACCGAATTTTGTTTACTATCGCTATTAGCTAAATTCTTTGCATTCAATTGCTGTTCATGTAGTTGTGATTGATATAGTGATAGTGAATACGATAGTGGATAATTATTCAAAAAAAATTCAGTAACGGTAAGACGTGGCGATGTGAATTGAGGCATATCTTAACCTTTGACTAAACTCACGGATTTACTCACCAACTTATCATCCCATTCATCTAAAAGGGAGAGCAAAGTGATACAAAGCACATACTCCAATCCGCGTTTATTATTCGCCGGAATTCTGTCCATGTTCATAATACCCAACGTATTTAACTTCTGATGGTAGAGCGCAATCACAATACTTGGATTGGGATCATGAACCATTTTACATTCAAGGCTATATTCAAGGCCTTCTGAAATTGGACCCCTACATTTTTGCCAATAGTATTCTTCGTTCTCCCATAGAAATTTATATTCGAAATTTATTTTTCCCGTATTATCAAATGGAATCTCTTCACGTGGCTATATTTAGTTTTTTATCATTATTTAATATTAACAAGGAATGGATGAGCGCAGATTTCTTGTCGTCAAATAAGAAACAAAGATGATTTGATCATTTACCTGAAACAATAATATTTGCTTCAATTTCGAATCACTTTTTTGAGCTTGTATCTCAACCAAAGCTACATCAGATATAGGATCAATCAATGTAATGCAATAAGGTTTCTTATTTGTCTAGAAAAAATCAAATATTAATTCCATTAATAACGTCATCCACGTATTTAAATAAACGAGCATACCGTGTGTCTAGTCTTTCGATACAGTAACTTTGTCGACTTTAATTCCCTAAGTTCAACATCATGATTATTCACACCTCTTTCGAGTGCAATATTAATAAGGTCCTCGTACTCTTGAACCTTCATGCTTTTTTCTCTTTCCATGAGTTTTTTAAATTTATTCGACTTTGATTGAATCTTGTTGATTGCCTTTATAATTATTATATCGATATCGATATGTACACAATACCGATACATGTAGTTCGTATTTAAGTTAAACAAAGTATCTTAACCAATGAAAATTAAGAAAAATCTACATGCGCATGTAACATGTTGGGCTGAGACATAACGATAACGCTTATTCTTTATAATTATTATATCGATATGTACGCGATACATGTAGTTTCGTATTTGGTTAAACAGTATCTTAACCAATGGAAATTAAGAAAATCTATTTTTCGGGGCTGAAACATGTTAAGTCGTCGTGTATGTATTTGTGCTCAAAAGTTAACGTTACGCCCTGTATCGGTTTAAATCTTGTAACTTAAGCTATTCCGTGGTCATTTACGTTTATTTGAAAATTTTAAACATTTCTTCTAAGCAATATAATAACACTCATATTAATAAAAAGCATATTAAGAACATTATTGATTAAAGTACATTTTTTTAACATCCTGACACAATAAAAGAAAGTTTTGTTAAAAAAGCAAATTTTCGATAATGAATACTAAATATAATTTAGGATCGAAAAGGGGAGCCTGTGAACCTGCTTTTGGATCAAAAGATCCAAAAAGAAGAGCCACCGAACTTGTTGATTCTATCGATTTTGGAGTGAATTCAATGGTGTTAGACGGAGAGTTTGCTGATATTACTATAAAAATAAGTATCGATAATAATGAAGAATCAAAAAAGGAACTTCGCCTTAACTTATCAGCAAAACTCCGCGACATTCGTAAAGTTCTCAACATTAAAACCGATATTAGAATGGGAACGAATGCTTTTTTTATTGGAAAAGGAGGCGGAGAAATATCTCTGAATGTTGAGCATGAAAAAAATCTCAAAGATATTGTTGAAAATTGCGTTTTGAAAATAAATAAACGAACGAACGAAATCGATTGGGATGAAGTTATAGAAATTTGCAAATTAGAATATGGATATGATTTCAATGATAACAAGACTAAAAGCTTGAAAAAGAAATTATTTCAATTCAAAAACTATCCGGGACCTGAAGCACTTGAACGAATTTGTAATATAGAGAAATATTCTATCGAATGCCGAGATAAATTCGATGATTTACGTGTAAAAAATAATATTGCCAAACTTAAAATTGGCTCGAATTTACCATGGTATGCGTTTTTATTACCTTTTAAAAGATGTTATATACAAGTAACCTTGATAATTTCTAAATATTTGTCTTCGTATTAACGAGTTTATCCTGTATTTATTTAAAAGGTTACCTATTTGTCTTGATTTTAGCATTGGTTCAAATAAAGAAGGTCGTAAAATCAATGAAAATTCTACGGTATATCGAATAGTTCAACGGGTTCATGCTACAATAGATATTTCGGAACTTGAGGCGTATCCAACCGAAGATTTCAAGAAAGCAGTCGAAAATGCATTATTAGAAAATACCATTCAATCAAAACGTGCAGCATTAAAAAAAGTTGCGGAAGAATTTGGCCCTTTTTGGAGTCGAAGAATTTTGCTCGGAGGCAAAATAATTTGTCAAGAGAATGATCAAAATTGTTTAAACGAGTCCCAAAATAATAATCAGACCTCTGTTAATCTAAATATAACCAAGAACGGGATGGGACATTCTCGTAACCAAAATTCAAGTTCTTCTTATTACACAAATTCAAAATTTTCGTATGTCAGAGCTTATGGAGGTGATGATTATACAGGAGATGAGAAAGGTAATATCAAAATTAATTAGTCTATATTTTTGAACTTCAATTATTGATTAGTTTTATAATCTTATAGAATGGATCGAATCGCTGAAAAATTATGAAAAATGGAGCCCCATTGAATACGAAGAAATCGCACTTGTTTTCGATGTATTAGATAAAACTACTCGCGAAAAAATATCGGCTTTGTTTGATGCAACCATAGTTAAATCTGGAGTGGAAAATATTAATTTCAAAGTCAACAAAAAATTCAAAAATCCATACGTAACTCATTTTAAATATGGACCAAATCTGACAAAATCTCATCGAATTTTTGCAAGTGTTATCAATCAAAAAGATCCTAAAGAAATTTTCGCATTGAGACTCCATTATAATTATGGAAGTACCATGCCACAAATCGTACTAAATCGATTAGGAGAACTTACAAGTTCTAATGATATCATTACATGTTGTTTGAAGTTAGCGTGGATTGTGATTGGTCCTTCATATGATTTTCTTTCCAATAACGTGGATAAAATCATCTGTGGTGAAGCAAAAACAACAGTTAATGGGGAGAGATATGAAACTAAAGAGCTTGATGTAGATCCAAATGATCCTAATGATCCTAATAATAGCCTTATTCTGACTTGTGTAACACGAGCGACAGAGAATTCAGATCATGATCCGAAAAAATCGAAAATTGTTGTTGGATCTCATTTTCATTCTTCGAATTCCAAAATTAGAAGTTGTGGCTTTTGTTATGATGTTCATACAGGAGGTATAATTTCTTTTTGTCTTTAAAGTATTATTTTTGAATACTAATACTGAATGATTTTCCTATAAAGAACAAAAACTCACATCAATTGACAAAGTAGATTTTGAAATAAATTACTGGTAAATTAATTTAAAATTGTACTGTTATATTTGTAACTAAATTCACTTGAATGAACAATGTCTATTTTATTAAATACATATAGTGCGATTATTTCCGATGAAAGCAATCCTCGATTTGGTATGAGCAGCGTATCCCAACGAAGCACATTAGAAAAAAAGGAAAAAGCGCGTATAATCGAAATCTCACCTAGTCCCACTGACATCAAAAATTTGATAGCGTGTAACAAATGCAAAAATTTGGATAATAATTGCAAACATTCAATTTTCTTGAATGTCCTATTAGAAGATTGCACGAAGAATTGCACTCCTGGTTTCTTAAATATCTCCTCCGATCAAACTCTTTTTTACACTTACAAGAAATCTTTTGATAAAGATGCACAAATCGTGTATTACTCTCCACTAATACATGAGGCGTCCGAAAACAACTAACTTTTTAACATACTTCTTTTTTCACCGTTCGAAAACATTGTCATAGTTTTTGATTATAGTCGAGAACATATTTGAATTTAGAAACATTATTTTAAGGTAGAAAACTATACATTTATTTTCTATTCGCTCGACATTAACGTTCATAATAATGAATAAAGTGATACCTGGTAGGAAAATTTTTGTCTTGTGACTTTTTTTATAACGCGAGTAAAACATTTAGAAATTAAAATTTGTCTACAGATTTATTAATACATTCTGGTCCCTCTAATACCAACCTCGCGAATATCAACATCCCTCTATTAGCAGCATTAATTATAAAACGGATTTGGCCTTATAAAAATTCCTTGAATATATCAACTTTGATATCATACCTCATTAATTTCCTATCACTATCAACATAGATCAGATTTTCACTCTTAGTTATATATAATGCTAACATAAAAGCTTTATTGGTCTCTAAAATTGTAAAAATTTGCGAAAAAACATTGTTCATCATATCCTCAATATTAAACTTCCGGCGCATGTCACGAAAATAATTGCAGAAAACTTTTATCATATAACTGCTTCCTTTTAAAAAATAATGATGTGAAAAAATACATAGGATTTCTATGAATTCTATTTCGAAATGTCATTTTCAGTCATCGAAGCCATAATACGTATCCCAGAATTTTTACTGTCAACAAATCTTTGCTCCTTAGTAAAATGTTCAACTTAAAGAATTCTATTATAGAGACTATATTTCCTATTTTATAGAAACATTATTAGGAAAATGTAATTATCCTTAACAATCGCACCTGAATTTAAATAACTACCCACCGTACGGACTGTAATTATCTCTGTATAATAAATTCACATGTCTATTCTATGTCGCACCCTGCATTTAAAAATTTACACTGCCTCAGCACACCTTTTGCCTTTAACTGCCTCTTCGCACTATAAGATTCACGCTGTCCTTCATATTTAATTACCCCTCTGAGTAATAAAAATTCGCTCATCTCATTATACTTATTGATGTTGGGGGTATTTTATATATTAATTTAACAACCTATATCAGATATTATAGTAAAAATTAATAATACAGATTTATTATGATGTATCAAAGTTTGTAGGGAGAGTTTAATATATCTTGAACAGCTTTGTTTTGTATAGTAGATGAGACGATTTGATTCTTAACGATTTACATGCAAATGTACATATACATATACATGTACACTCACTGGACAAAAGTTTGGAATCGGGAAATGATCAGCAATGTAGGTCACGAATTTTGATATGACTT